TATTTTGAACATTTCGTTTTATTGTTTTTTAAAAATTTTCCTATTGTGTTGTTAGTGTTGTCCGCATTTGTTTTTATCGATAGTGGACGGATTGTAGCCATTTTTCTGTGAAATTTGTTTAATGATATTAAGTTCTTTGTGGTAATTTTCTGTTGAGAGTGGCGTATTAAGAAGTCTGTATATAAAAGAGTGAAATGCAGCCATTTTGTGTTTATAAGGGTGATTTGAGCTGTTATGTATGACTGTGTCCTTGTGTGAAGGTTTATGGTAAATGGAAAAATCTAATTTGTTTTACGTTTTCGTAATATTTAAGTCTAAAAAATTAACAGAGTTATACTATTCAATCTCGATAGTGAATTTTATACAATTATGTAATGATTTAATGTAATTTAAAAAAGAATTCAATTATCTGTCCGTTCCAACAAAGGAAGGAAAGACATCATCCACGTATCTATACCACCACAGAAAACTTTTACTTACAGGATGTTCTAATATGATATTTTCCAAATTATCCATAAAAATCTCGGCTAACAAAGGACTAAGTGGGTTTCCCATAATCAAGCCTTCCTTAGAGATGTAAATCTGTCCATTAAATTCAAAATAATTTTGGTTTAAAGATACTATTAAGCAGTCTAATAAATCTTGCTTAACCAATGGGTTAACCTGTTTCCGAGTTAGGGTGAAATCTAATGAATATAATTTCGGCGGTTGTGGAATCATAATTGTTAAAAAATACTTGTCATTGCCACTAAACAGTGTGGAGTTAGTAAATACTTCCTTGACTGGTCTTTGGTATAACTCGGTGGGATCGTGTTTGATACATTGGAAAAGTTCTGGTTTAAGAAAATTGTTGGTTTTTGAAATATATTCTGGGAGATCGATAGCTATAACTGTCTTCCCTTTATCTGCACGTATAAATATTATGTTATTTTCAGAACCTTTGTTTTTGATAGTTTTTATTAGTGCCATATGAGAAATTTCTTGGTGTTGTTATCTATTAATCGAGAGTTTTTTATATTCGCTAATACTTGTTTGTTTAAATTAGAATCGTTAATGTCCTTAATTGCTAATTCACAATCGACCCCTAAACTGTTTAAGTCTCTATTAATGTACGAGTGCTGTAAGTTAAATTTGAAACCTTTTTCCAGAAATTCAACTTCATTTTTAGAAAATGTTGTTTCTCTTAAGTTTATGAACCCTTTGTAAAATTGGTGATCAGTATACTTTGTAATAACTGGCTTGCTGTTAGATACTTTTGTATTAGAAATTAATTTGTCTAACTTTAGTTTTTGTCTAAGAAACTTTTTATGAGTGATAGATGAAATGTCTGTTCGAACTCTATAATCAAATGTGTCAAATTTCATGGGAATAAGTCTATGAGACAATTCAGAATGTATTACCTTTAGATAAACGTGATTTGTATCCCGTTTTCTGTGCTCGTGTCTTCGTTCTTCCTTCATCCATTTCGTCTAGCCTTGGATCTGGGCTTTCCTTGCAGCGGGACTTCTGTTGGTTTTTAATTTTATAAACTTGCGAAAAACTTTATTTTGTAGACATTTGTTAAAAAACCAAATGTTTTGAGAACATATTCGGCAACATAGAAGCAATTTAAAATACCAAATAGCCAGGAAACCAATTTCAGCTTCTTTCAAAAATTGAACTGAGGTGGCTTTTACTTGATGAAAATCCATTTAACAAAATAAATAAAAACTAATAGTTCAGATTTTCAAGAAATTATATATTTTCCGATGGCAATTGTTTCGACAACACCGTGTCTTTATCAAATGTAATATTTACAAACTATCTGCTACTATATATACCAAAAAATTACAAAAAAGCCTTAATTAATGTTTTTGTGAGAATGTAAGTGCAATAAAGGAGTATTTAAATCTAATTAATCGGTAAGCAATACATTGGAATGTCTTATTTTCTTAATCTCCACGCCTTCCAATAAATTTAATTTTCCACTTGTCGTGGCTGTATGTTGAAAAAATATTCCGGGATATCATCCGTTCGTTTGTTGAACTCCGACTGGAATCCTGCAGACGTTTTGCCAAGATTTCACTTGGGATCGTCAATGCTCGCGCTCCGAAAACACTTCGAACAATGGCGCAGCGCGAGCATTGAAGATGTCGACGGGTGTAAGTATTTATCTCCCTATTGTGTTGCTAGTGTGTTTGCAAAAATTGTTGAAACTGTAATTAAGAAGAAAGTGATGTCTTTCATTAGTAAGCACAAACATATCGATGAATTTCAGTATGGCTTCATTAAAGACTGTAATCGCCGTGATCGATCTTGTAAATAACATTGCGATTGAATCAGATAAGCGGTACTTAGTAATAGCAATGTTTATAGATCTTCAAAAAGCTTTTTAGTCTGAGATCCGAGGTAAGATCGACCTTCACCAGAGTATCAACCGGATGAAAATGACATTCTATCGAATAAAATAAGTTTCCAAATGTGACTTAATATGGCAACCTCAATGGAAATGTTCAAGATTATTTTTAATTAAAATAAATTTTAAAAAAATTATATATTTTTTTAATTGACCGGTGTGTCTACCAAATGAAACTAACTCCAGTGAAAAGTATATACATACATACACAACATGCAACACCACAGTTGCTTACCTTTTTTTGGTTCCTATTACCTGGTAACTGCTATCAAACAGTTGATGTTAATAATCACTCTTTTGTCCGGACTAGTCTTAAAATTAAAGTAATTTAATCATAAATATTGTACTATATGGTTGCCGGAAAAAAATGGATCATAGATGCTAGTTGAAAGACATTTAAATTACAGAATTTGGAACTAGGGAAGGTCCAAGCCAGAGAGACGACACTTACTTACTTCTCTATGTAAAAAAGGATACAATGGTACAGGATACACAGACATCACCTGTGAGAGAGTACATATGTTCCTCACGCTGAGTAAAAACAAAGATAAATTAATTTACTACAGAGCGGTGTTTGGAATATATATATATATATATATATATATATATATATATATATATATATATATATATATATATATATATATATATATATATATATATATATATATATATATATATATATATATATATACAAAACGGTAGTCGTGACCGGCTAGTTAAACAACAAATTTTAGTTAATTGGGGTATCGGTCCTGATGAGGCTCAAATAAAAGGCTTTTGTGCTACACCAAGCTTTCGAAAATGTTTATTTTCTTCTTCAGGGGCTACAATATGAAAGCGGCTCTTAGTTATTTAATACTAAAGTCTTATAGTTAAAGTACTTACTGCTACAGTGCCATTATAGGCCAACACCAAACTCATCCGGATAACAGAAAGAATCAAATACGACCGTTAATTATTATAACCGAGGGCAGCCATCTAGACGAAATTGTTATTACATTTTATTTAAACGAATTTTACTTCAAACGCAAAACGCAAATGATGGAAAGGTTTTATTAGTATGACTACCGCCATATATATATATATATATATATATATATATATATATATATATATATATATATATATATATATATATATATATATATATATATATATATATATATATATATATATATATATATATATATATATCTATAGAGAGGAACTTGCTTGGCGCCTAGGGGGCTTACCAAGGAAACACCGCACAATGGAGGAGATTGACGAGGCCGCCGACCGAGTCAGCTCCGCTATGATGCGGGCGTTCGAGAATAGTTGCCCTGAGACAGTGGAGCATAGGGTGGGAAGGACTCCTTGGTGGAGCTCTTCCCTGGAGCGTCTCAGGAGGAAAGTGCGGAGGCTGTTCAATACAGCGAGGAGCAGCAGCCAAGGGGCGGACTGGGATCTCTATAGGGAGGTCCGCAGACAGTACAAACTACGGGCATCACGGAGGAGGGCCTGGAGGGGCTACTGCGACGGAGTAATGAATACCCCCGACGCGGCTAGGCTCCTTAGGGTACTCAGAAGTGACCCTGCGGGTAGACTGGGGGTGGTCCGCAGGACCGGCGGTGGCTACACAGCGGGACCAGCGGACACACTACAACAGCTGCTGAACACGCACTTCCCAGGGTCCGCTGATCCGGACACAGGGGGGAATATTGAAGCCGGGGGTCGTCTTGGAGGCGACTACGCCACGGCAAGGAGGGTGGTTACCCATAGTAGGCTGAGGTGGGCTATTGACAGCTTTGGCCCCTTCAAGTCGGCGGGCGGGGATGGAGTATTTCCGGCTCTGTTGCAAAGGGACGGAGGTCTCCTGACCAGCCCGCTGATGGACCTGTTCAGGGCCTCCATTGCGAGGGGGTACGTGCCCGAGCTGTGGAGACACAGCAGGGTAGTGTTCATTCCCAAGGTAGGGAAGAGTGACTACACAGACCCGAAGTCGTACCGGCCTGTTTGCCTCACCAGCTTCATTATGAAGACTCTGTAGAGGCTGGTGGACCGGTATCTGAGGGACTGGGTGGAGCTGGAGGCCCCTTTAGAGCCAGCTCAGCATGCGTACCGAAGTGGCGGGTCTGTGGGCTCAGCTCTTCACCATCTGACTTCCAGGTTGGAGGAGGGTATGGGCTCGGGACGGCTGTCGGTGTGCGTGTTCGCTGACATCGAAGGGGCTTTCAATAACACGGCCCTGTACTCGATCTGCAGGGCGGTGGAGAGTACTGGAGTGGGGACGGCCATTGTAAGGTGGATCCGCTCCATGCTAACCGACAGGAGGGTCGAGGCAAGACTGGGTGGGGAGCAGGTCTCCATCGGTTCATCACGGGGTTGTCCACAGGGCGGGGTCTTGTCCCCGTTCCTGTGGTGCCTGGTGGTAAACGAGATATTGCATATTCTGAGGGAAGAACACGGGGTCTATGCTCAGGCATATGCAGACGACCTTGTGATAATGACGCAGGGGACGGACGTGAGAAGGATGCAGGGGCTCCTGAACGGGGCATTGGTAAGATTCTCACAATGGTGCCTGGACAGCAAGTTGGCTGTCAATCCTAGCAAGGTGGAGATGGTCATCTTCACTAGGAAAAGGAAGATGGAGTGCAACCTCAACATTTCGATGGATGGGGTGCCTCTTTCTGCAAGCGGAAGTGTCAAGTACTTGGGTGTATGGTTGGACTCTAAGTTGACCTTCCAGGAACATATAAGATCAAGGACCAGGTCGGCCTTTGGAGCTCTGTGGGCGTGCCGGAGAGCGGTAGGGGGCACTTGGGGCCTGGGGCCGAAGATCATGCAGTGGATCTACGGTACCATGGTGGTGCCTATGCTCACGCATGGGGCAGTGGCATGGTGGCCGGGGACCAGAAGAGCGGGAGCAAGGCTAGTTCTTGACAGACTGCAGAGATTGGCTTGCCTCTGCATAACGGGCGCCATGAGAACGGCGCCCACGAGGGCCCTGGAGGCTCTGGTGGGGCTGCCCTCTCTGGCGGATCGGGTGCAGATGGAGGCGGCCAGGACAGCTGTGAGGCTGGCGAGCTGCGGGCTCTGGAGGGAGGGAACCCTCAATCGGGGTCCGTACGACATTTTAGAGGGCTGTCGCGGGGATCGCGGGGTCATGGGCATGCCGAGTGACGTCATGATCCCCGAGATGACCTTCTTTGATAAATTGACCTTTCTCTTTCCATCAAGGGAAGATTGGAGAGAGGGCAGAGTCGGCTCCTGGGATGGACTTGTCTGGTACACGGACGGGTCCAGAATGGGAGATCTGGCCGGAGCTGGAGCGTACTGCGAGACAACGGGATCAAGCTTGTCGGTCCCTCTGGGTCAGTACTGCACTGTGTTTCAGGCGGAAATTTTCGCTTTATTGATGGCGGCCAGAGAGGTGCTTCGGCTCAACTACGGAAGCAGGAGAGTCTTCTTCTGCTCGGATAGTAGGGCTGCACTCATGGCGCTGAAGTCAGTGCGTACGCGCTCCTTGTTGATACAGGAGTGCAAAGGGGTACTGAGGAGGGTGGCTGAGGAGAGAAAGGTCACGTTGGTCTGGGTCCCGGGTCACACCGGTGTCCGGGGCAATGAGGCAGCGGACGCCTTAGCCAGGGAGGGCTCCTCGCATAGGCATATAGGGCCAGAGCCCCGCTTGGGGATCGCCCCGTGTGTGAGGCGGGGAGCTCTCGAAGCCTGGGCGAGAGACCGGGCCGCGGGGGGCTGGAGAGTTGCTCCGGGAATGAGGCAGGCGAGGCTTATGATGGATGGGCCCGCCCTTCCTCGCACCAGGGAGCTGCTTAGACTGACCAGGAGGGAGTGTAGAGCACTAACAGGGGCCTACACAGGACATTGCAGGCTTAGGAGGCATCTCTGCTTGCTAGGCATTGGAGACGACCCGGAGTGTAGGTGGTGCATGGAAGGGGAGGAGACCCCGTATCATCTGCTCACCGAGTGCCCTGCCTTGACATGGGCAAGATTGGGAGTCTTCGGAACGGCCCTGATCGATCCGGACTCAGTGCACGGTATTGGGCTAAAGGAGTTGCTGACCTTCTACAGGAGGGGCGGCATTCTGGACGCCCTCTAGAGCGGCCTGGGGGCACAACGGGCCCATCTGGTGGCCTAAGTGCTTGGACGCCCGCGAGGGCGCCCCCCTTTGATACCAATACCAATACCAATACCAATATATATA